AACGTGGTTCCTGATGCAGTCAATCTCTGCGCTACACTGCCTTCCTAAAATGGGATGCAAGAGCAAGACAAATGAGATTCTGGGGTTTTAACATCAATGGCATAGACACTGACAGTGACTACAACCAAAACCAAAAGGACACTAGACTTCCTAGCAGCCAATACATAAAGCAAGAAGGTGAAGAGGTGGCCTCAGGGAAGTAACCATCCCCTGGTTAGCTGAGGTTGAAGAGTTCTCAGGAATACGGGGAATTCAGTGTTAAAACTGAAACACATGGGTGTCCTACTAAGGTTTGACATTTTCTAACTCTCAGACATGAAAGGCCGACTCAGTATTAATGTTATTTTTAGGCTCATGCTGATCCCATCAACATCTCTTCTCATCATCATTAGAAATACTAAGTGTGGGAGCTCTGGTAGCCTAGTGGCAAGAAGCTGTACTATAACCCCACAGGTATGAGGTTTGAATCCACCAGATCCTCCTCTGGAGAAGGAGGGACAATCTCCTCCTGTGCCAGTCATATCTGATTCAACAGCACACAACAAGAAAAAAGAAAAAAAATACTAAATTTTTTTTACAACATTCTGCTTTGGAATGAGGAGTGAGTTAGGAGAAAATGAAGCCATGGTAATTGCTTGTTTTCAATTCTCACTTTTGTCAGTGCATCCAAGTGTCTAAGTAAGAAGGAGATACAAATTCTGGGTTAAATCTTGCTCTACCATGTCTAGGTGTTATTTAATTTTCTTTCCTATATTTATGTAGGATTGCTTTCTTAAAAAAATATTCGCTTGCACACCCATGTTTATTGCTGCATTACTTACAACAGCAAAGAGATGGAAGCAACCCAAGTGTTCATCAACAAATGAAAGAATAGGAAAACTATGGTATAGTCATAAAATGGAATACTACGTAGCACTGAAAAACAATGAACTTTTATAACATTATACAACATGGGGGACCCAGGAGCACATCATGCTGAGTGAAATATCTCAGTCACAAAAGGACAAATACTCCATAGTACCACTGTTAAAAAGTTGGTCTCACACGGGGAGTTTGGAGGAGAGTAGGATAAGAATGGATAGATAATGACCATTGCATTGGAACAGATGGAAGAACTATCTAAAAGGAACATATAGTCATTATATGTACAACAGCAGCTCAGAATAAGAAGTATATCATTGCAAAGAGGACAGGGAGGGGTAGGGCGAGAGGCAGGTAATTTGTGCAACAGTGAACGAATATTAAAATAAAGTGAACTGGGGGAGGGGGAAGAGAGGGAGAGGGAATAAAATGTGCAACAACGAATGAATGAATGAATGAAAATCTAACTTCTCTGTAAATATTCATTCTTTTAAAAAATATTCCTGAAATGTTAAGCATAGATCAAGTCCAATTATTCTTAGAAAATTAAAAGACAGCCATGTCAGAACTTGCAAATGAAATGTGAAACACAGACTAAGAACCAGTAATAAACCTGTTAAAGACAAGTGTTAACATCGGCTCTGATATTGACAATGAACTTTGTGAAAATGCAAACCAGGCCTCATTTATCTTCCTTTTCTCCCACAGTAACACCTAGTATATGAACGCTGTCTTAATTGTAATCTTAATCTTAGTACGTCTAAACTAAACAACAACAGCAGCAACAACAAAAAACTCACTTAAGTGTCATTGGGGTGGCTAAGTAGTAAGGAATCATGCCACCAGCCCAAAGGCACACAGTTCAAATCCACCTGCCCAAAGGAGAAAGATGAGCAACTTCTACCTGTGTGATTGAGTGCCTCCTCCGAAATCCCTCTGGAGGGTCAGCTATGAGTCAGTTCCAACTAGACAGTATATAACAACAATAACATTGCAGAAGCTGTTAGAAATAAACTAAGGCCTGGAAAAGGGAAGTGAATTTCCCAGTGTGAAGAGAACTATAGTAAAAATGCAAAACCCTGTAATCTCCACTTGGTTGTAGGAAATAATTTTTTAAAGTACATCCTTTAAGGACTGGAATTTTAGTGCCAATCCAGGTAAACTGTCACAGATCCTCATAAGACTTGTATCAACCACTTTCTCAAGCATGTGATAGTAAAATAAAACAAAAGTTTTATTAATTTCAGGCAGACTAAATGAACAACTATTCAAGTGGAAAAGATAAACTACCTTTAGGGAAAAGAGCAAAGCTCTGCCGAGCCGTGTTGAAAGTTTTAGAAAAACTGAACAAATTTTAGACTAAACATTAGAAGGAAATTTTCCAGCCAATTTAAGTTTCTATTTAGACAAAGAGCCTTTTAAAAAACATAAGAGAAAAAGAACACAACTAATTCAACCAAGATACCTGAACACCTACTCTGATCAGAGACTGAAAAAAATACACACACACACACACACACACACACACACACACGAAACCCACACACACACACAAAAAAACACCACCACAACAAGCGCGTGTGGTCTGGACCAAGTAACTGTGTAACCAAGGAAGAAATGGTGAACATTTTCACATGAACACTCAAAATCCTAAGAGTCATAGAAAAGTCCCACTGAGAACGTAAGCATTCCTCTTCTAAGTGCACATTGCATCAGTCAATCGGGATTTATGAGTATCTGTTACTCTCGGGTGGCCTAGCGGGCAAGGAGTTATACTGCCAACACAAAGGCAGATCTGCAGCTGCCGGGGGAAAGATGGACAATCTCCTCCCAGGCAATTTACAGCCTCTTCAAAGTCCACAAGAAGGTCCGTTATGAGTGAATTCCAACTCAGTGACAATGAATGGAGTAGAGTTGAAACAAGGTAGTAAGAGACTTTAGATCTAATTCTAATGGAGGTGGCAAAAGGTAAATAAATGCCAAGTGAGTAATGGTGTACTGTTGGGGCACAATGTGGGTGGGAGAAGGTGAGAGAATAAATTTCACAGAAGTGGCCTGAACTAGTTTTGAGGCGTTCCAAAAGGAAAAGCACAAATGTGAGTGTTTGAACTGTGCACGAGTAACCAAGAAGGCAATGACACTGAAAAGGAGAGGTCTAAGGTATGCTCTGGTGACAGACCACTGACCAGTGTCGCTAGAGTAGAGGATTCAAGTGATGATGGTAAATTTGTGCCTGCCTGGGAAGGCCCCTCTATTTGAGGTCAGGCATAGATAAAAGGCCTGCACAGCTGTCTAGGCTGCCACTTGCACACCCGGGTTTTCAAGCAGAATAATTTGATCCTTCAAATTTTTCATGGTTAGATCTAAGCAGATCAGTTCTAAGTTACATGATTTTTAAGATGTCTTTGTGCATTCACTGTCCACCAGTGGAATCTCACGGTCAAGAGCGAGAGAGCAGATGTGTGCGGACCTGAAGACAAGGCTGAGGCTCCCCTATCAGTCACTTACTTGCCAAGGAATCTTAGGCAAAACAGACTGTCTTTTGCTTGATGGGAAACAGAATCTCCAAAGTTCTTTGTGATTCTCTAATACAAAATGTCACACCAGTGCAGAAAAATAACTGAAGTCCAACTGGCACACACTTTATAATATATTTGATGAAAAGAAGAAATGCATAAAAGCAGAACAGTCAAAGACTATGTAATATCAGCATATCATTTAGTCTTCTAAAAGAGCGTACTAACAGAGAAAAATCTTACTCATCTTGAAAACTTTTCCTTAAAAAAAAACCCACACAAGTGAGCCATAGTTAACAATCACGAATATAGTCCAATTTCAAGAAAGTATAAGAAGTCTTAAAAGCCCCTTAACAGTGACTAATTGTAATAAATCTGTTTTGGTTTGGTTTGATCTGAGCATGTTGTATTACTATGGCTGCTTCGCAGAAGTCACATTACAGGTGATGGTAACAAAAGGACTCTGCAGAACGCACTCGGGAAACATCATCCTTGCGTTTATTCCCAATACCCTGACAGTCATCGGAAAGACCTTTTTGATTGGCTAGTGTTACTAAATTTAAAGGTGTATTGGGGGAAGAGTGGAAAAGAGTTAGCCTATTCACTAAACGATCATCTAAAACAACTACTTTTAAAAAAGAGTTAGTAACTTGGGCATGCCCTGAGCTTCATTCTGCCGGGAGAAAACAGGCAGAAACAGTCAACAGAGCTCTAACCTCCTTTCTATCTTGGCTACACAATAGTTTTCAGAGGTTTAGCCCGACCATGAAAGACCCATGTTAGACACTGGAAGGGTCTAACAGAGAGTTAAGTACCAGGCCTTGCGTAAACGAGGGAGAGGATGACCTCTCGGCCCCATTCTGCTGAATGCCCAGCACATCCGTAGCTCAGGGCCAGGGAGAGAAAAGCTGGGGTACAACCAGGTGTTACAAAACCAGTGCCTCTGGGTCTCTCCCACACTTTGTTCCTTAAACAGCTGAAACTTCAATGGGCCTTAAATAGTATAAGGCTAGTGAGAAGAAGTACAATTCTGGGAACCAACTCTTCCACTGTCCCTTAAGCCTTTGTTCCCCTTATTGTCCCAGTCCTGCAGCATGCAGCACACGTTCCATGAGCAACAGGCAAGACAATGGATTCCACTACGGCTGGACAATTAGTCCCAATTAGGCCTATTTCCCAGCTGAATGTAAAAGGGTTGTGGGGTGAGGTATGGAGGGAAAAAAGTACTGAAATGTTACAAAAATACTTCATCATGGGAGAAACTTAAGACCATGTCAAATAACGTGCACTGAGGATCAGTTAGATACTGCCACAAAGTAGCATCCGGTATACACCTTACCTTCTCTATTCTTATCAACAAAATGTGGCCCGTCTATTCCACCATTCCTCAGAGGATCTGAATATCTAATGTCAAATCGCAACTGAAAGTGCTCTGAAATTACCAACTGTTACACAGATACAGGGATTACTCCTGGCCTGTATTTGGAACCCAAGTTACCAAGTTATGTTACAAATGGTATAATTTTTATCCCTCCCAGCAGAAGCCATTGAGGAATGCTTTTCTTTGTTTTATCTCTATGTTTCCTGACGGACAGTTACTTTAAGGCAGCAAGCGATACTTACATATGTACATGTGGCGGCTGGAATCTGCTCTGGTTGATGTTGTAGTGCGTGAAGGCCTGGGTGGGGTTTGAGCTGTACTCGTCCACCGTTATAGTAACTTTGCCTTGAGAAGGAATACCATGTGCCATCCTTCCACCTCTTTAAGCATGAGCAATTCACAACTTTCTGGAGCAAAGGATGGAATCAGGCATGGTGTGACTCAGCCAGCCTCTGACTCCAAGGATCTGCTCATAAATACCGCTGTGTGTTTCTAGAAAGAAAGAAAGAGAAAAAAAAATTATCAAATGGGAACAAATAAAAAGAGGGTGATCTATGGGATTTCAAATTTGATGGTTGGACATGAAACCGGCTCAGATTTAAAAAAATCAGGATGTCCGCTATTACTTCACGGATACAGCCATTCCTTGTGCTCTTTCCCGTGTGCACTTTAGAGTGGACACTGTACTTTTTAACGACTTTGCTGGCTCCGAGCAAATCATCTCAATGGTGTTCAAAGGAAGATTTCCTCTTTAATTATAATTGTGGCACTTAATGTGAATTACGGAAGGGGCATATCCACAGTTGCCATGGTGTCTAGCTATAAATGGTTTGTGCTTGAAGTGGAGTTTCTTCCAAACCTTCCCTGCTAATTGGAACGTTTGGTCCCTACAAAGTTGCTGTCATGTAATAATTTGAAATCACACCACTTGAAACAGCCATATAAGATGATGACAAACATATGTTAAAAATGCTGTGTTTATAACAGAAACCAGGGGCTAACTAGAGTACATACAATACACGCACATGCTACACATACACAACTATTACTTTCATAAGCAGTACTTAGGTATACAATGCCCAGCATACATATATAATGCATTCAGATCAAGCAGTTCAAGGAAAGGCAATTCTTTCTCACTCAAAGTAGGATAATTTCTTTAAGCGCCCTAGTAGCCCAGGGAAAGGGAAACACATACACGCCTAGACCACCACTTGGATACATGCAATAATTCCTTTCTTTGCAGGGCAAAGGGCATAGACATTATATACATCATCTTGTTCCGGGGGCTGCAGAATTCTGAGTGGTTGGTTATACCTTACCACCACCATCCCCCTCCCCCCGACTTCCATTCTGACATAATTATCAATGCAGTGTTTGCCGAGAGGGCAGAGGGTTTCAATATGAAGATGTTTCTTTCTATAGCAGGTGTGCAAACCCCAAAGAGAGCAGAGCTCTGCACTGAAGCTGTTGTGACCAGAGCAGCAGAGAGGTGGGTACCGTACCCTTTTACTTTGAATGCCCTGCATCAGAACATGTTTGCCATGTGCACCGTTAAGCTCCAGGAATCTTAGCTGCTATAGAAAATAAAAATATTTAGAATAATAAGATTGGGTTTAAATTTGGCATAAAATACCTTAAAATATCAGAGAATAAGGCAGATGGTCTGCCATAGGCCATTTATTTTATTCTTTTACAACCCGGGGCTTGTGCAGTCCTCCATATGCTGGCTGGGCTAAGAAACTTCATAGCGCTTTACTCCATTCCACTGCCTTTCTCATTTTAGCAAGGCAAGCTAAATAACACCCACCTTGCCTGCTTCCCAGTGCGCAAGCACATTGCCAAGGGATGACTCCTGGTGGCTTGGCATTTTAAACAAAGTGTCATTTGGGGTTGGCTTTCTTCTTCCGGACTTCATGGGAGGTATGAGTTCTTTAAACACCAGTTGATAGGCAACCAACCCAGCCAGGAGGATTAACGAAATTAAAAATCTTTGCCTCCACCTCTGATGTAAGATATCTATAAGAACTGCTTACAAATCATAATGTAGCAGTTTTCATACCAAGTTTGCAGCTGTTTCCTTCACTTCCCCCCCAATTATATTTTACTGTTATTTTGCATAACAGTAAAACACAACACCTGCTTCAAATTGCAGTCCTGTTCTAAGTACTGTAATTCTCTTTTGAGACACAAAGTACTGAGACACTGAAGCGCAAAAACTGCATAATTGCGTGGCGCTGAAAAGTAAATACAAATGAAAACATCTTCCTGTTATAGAAATGACTGTCATTAAAAAGAATGTTAGCCATCAAAGCACAGAAGAAGGGGGGGGGATACACATTTTCAGACTGCGAGAACTTAGTGCTTGCATAAATTAGAGAGTGGTATAAAAATTAGATGGCAATTCTTATGTTTCAGCCATCAATGCCTATTGTGTGAAACACTGAACATTAAGAAGCAAAGGGAAGCAAATTCATGTCTAGACCACTGTGAACTGGGTAACAATCCTACTACACAGTGTGTCAGGGACTGTTTAAGTTTCTGTGCCGTAAACTCACTAATTAAACTAAGCTAGACGTGACCTTAAAGAGTCCTGCCAGCATGGTAGTTAAAGCATTTAGCTGCTATCTAAAAGGTAGTGGTTTTGAAACTTACCAGCCACACTGCTGCGAAAGAAAGATGTGGCAATCTGAGTCAATAAAGATTGCAGGCTTGAATGCCCAAGGGAGCAGCTCCACTCTGTTCTATCGGGTCACTATCAGTCAGAATTCATTAGATAGCACTGATTTCTTCAGGTTTAAATGTGGCCTGGACATCATATATATTTAACTTTCTACATAACATCTTATGGCAGTTAGCTCCACAGTCTCCCTTCCAAGTTTCCAAGTTGAAGTTAAAAAGAGATAGAACTTTGAAGGTAATCAATTCTCACTCCTAAATGGTCCGCCCTTACCTAACGTCAACCAGCCGATTGCCTTTTCTATCAAGTGAACATCTTTCCACCTTCACCCCAGCAAGACAAATAGAACATCTTTTCATCAGCAGCCACAGGCCCCTCTGACTCTGAAGGGCTAAATGGGTGGCTGGCACCTCATTTGAATTCATCTTTACCATGTTCTCTTTCAAATGTTTTATCGAAACAGTGCACCTGCAGCGTCTATCTTCTTTAATCTGGAGTCCTTTGAAGAAAATGTCAGACTGAGGCAGAGAGCTTCAAAACTTTCACTGGCACCTTTACAGACAAGTCAAGAAAAGGCTTATTTTTAAAAAATGCTATGCTCATCTTCATTCGCATCTGAAAATGAACGCAGCCTAAGAATATTAAACACACCACGTGGAAAAACACTGCTTTCTTGGTAAACTGGCAGCCCAGGAACAATGGGTAAGAGTTACCACCTCCAACCTGAGAATTCTGGGGCTGGCGGGGGAGGGAGATTGAAGCAAGCCAGAAAGACACATTACCTAAAACTATCTAAAATGTGATATTCGGTTTCACCTCCTTATGTAGTTAAATCTTTCTAAGGATCAATTTCCAGTACATCCTACCCTTGCCACTGTGAGATCTCTTTTTTTACATATAATATTTAAAAAGAGCAATATATGTCTTGTAACAAAATCTGCATCTTATACGACAACACATTTGCTCCACAAAACAAAGGAACACAGTATGAAATGCCAGGAAGCCTAAATAAAAATCTAAAAAGGATTGATGCCGCCAAACATTCATGCTGGTGCGGGTCTGACTTTCTCTTTAAAGAAAAATCATGTGAGAGCGCATTTTGTATTTCCTAGACAGCAATCATTTCTCCAGTGCCTTAAATTGTGCAACTGCTATGTTCTTTTCCAGGAATCTAGTTGGAAAACCTTTCAAAGTTCTCTGGCAGTGAAGGGATTAAAAGCTGAGGAATAAGATAGCTGCCTCCACCAGAAGTCCAACTCAATTCACCAAAAGTTTCAAAAGAATAACTCATGACCTCTCCCCCCCCACCCCGCCAATGTCTCTCATGGCACAGCCTATGAGGAAAGAGCCCGCGATTTCCTCTATTAAACAAGGATGCTCATTTTTGATCACTTGACCCAAGCTCCTCTAAAGACAGCCTGACTGGATTTTGGAGCCCATTTCCCCAACTCTGCCAAATTCTTCGTTCTTCTGGTGCTCAGACCAAGAACTTTCAATTCACACCTCTTATTCTTTTTTGCGCCCCCCCCCCCCCCCCCCCCCACCTTTCCACCTTCAGTTACTCAGCCCTGTATCCCAAAGCGATGCCTACACGCCTTTCCCCGCCAAGCTTTTCCAAGGATGCTCACACCAAGTGGCACGTGCATCAGTCCACTGAGCGCCCTCCCCTTTGTCGCACTTACACCTGAACTTGTCTCCAGCACTGTGGACACCCCGCTGGCACATTCTTTCAAACAGAGGGGGCAAGACTTTTCTCCCGGGCCTCTGGCAACGTGTGGTGTCTATATATGGTGGGGCAGTGGGGGGTTGGGGGGCCGCGGAATTCTCTACTTTGGATTGGTTTGTTTGTTTTAAATCTAGGTTGGGCAGTTGGGGTGGGAAGGGGGCTTCAGTGAGGACACGCGCGCGCATGCACACACACACACACACACACGCGCGCACACACACACACTCACACGCTCGCCCTGTCCTCCCAGCTCACACAGCAGCCCCGGTCGCAACTCCCCCTTCCTTCCTGGAGCACCAGCTCGCCTGACTCGCTCAGTCCCCTGCTGCTGCTGCTGTCGCCTCCACTGCAGCCGCCGTTGGCACTGTTGGTGCAGGCGCTCCCGGCCCCGGGCTCCGCTGGGCGTCTGTCTTTCTTTCTGTCCCTCTCCCCTAACCGCAGGTTGATTGATGACCATGAGCGGCCAATGGCTCTGACACCACGCCATCCTAGCTCGGGCATCACAACCTCTCAGCCCAGACGTCAGCCTCCCGGGCGCACTGGCATCCCCGAGCCCCCGGAGCCGCGCAGGAGCACCGAGCCGCCGCCTCCCTGCCCTCCGCCGGGAGCGCCAAGCTCCTCTCCCGAAGCGAGAGAGGAAGGGAGGGAGCCAGCGCGCTTCGGAGGGGGGGGGGGTGAGGCCACTGGTTTTTGACCTCCCTCTTTGGAAATCTTTTCCTTCACTTAAAGTTTTGTTTGCCACCCCACCCCCTGCCCTGACCTGTTTGTGTTTATTTGTTCTCAGCATCGCAAATCAATTACACATTTTTCATGACTGCATTTGCACTTAATTGTGGGTGTGTGTTGGGGAGAATCAGGGTAAGATTAAAATGAGTTCTAAATGGACCCCACCAAGTCGTCTTTAATTTATTTTCTTGCAAGTAAATTTCAACCTCCACCTCTTTGCTCTCCAGGAAAAAAAAAAAATAATAATAATAATGCCCCTGCTTCACCTCCTAGGCCGCGGAAGCTCGTGAATGCAAAGGTTTTCCAAAGATAACCCTGCTAACATGTAAATATGGCAAAGAAACTCTGGTCTCGGTACAG